GCCCAGCTCATATACTAGAGGAAACAGGCAGTTCTTAACCCTAGGACTCTGCCTATACCTTGCTTCCACACAGGAGTTCAGCCTGCTATTCTTTATTCTCAAAATATTTTCACCTCATCACTTCACACTCAGGGCTAGGACACTACCTCCATTGCTTTATAACATTTAAGCCCTCACTGCTGCTACAAGAGCCTCATGTACATTGACTTGGTCCTCACAATAACCTTAATGAAAAAAATACTTCTATTTTCATTCTTGAGATGGAGAAACCTAAAAGTTGAAGAACTTGTACAGAATCACCCAGTTGATGGTGGAGTGAAGGATTTGAACTCAAGTCTCTATGATTCTACATTTTCTGCTCTACACTGTGTCTCAAAAACACTGTTGAGAGCTCAGAGGCTGCCCCAGATGACAGATTTGGTAAGTGATGAAATGGTAGAGGAAAAATTACATGAAAAATAAATCTTTAGCCTTTTCATGCAAGGAAAAGTGTGGGTGGTAACCCTTCCGCGGGTGATGAAATCAATTTAATGAGTAAGGAACAACATTCAAATTGAGAAAAAAGAGATGGGAAATAGAGAATAAAAAAGAAAAAGAGGAGACAGGAGGAAGGGAGGAAAAAAGGGAAAGAAGAAAAGAATACATTGTGCCATATGTAGTCAGAATAGTATTCTTTCCTAAACTTTTATTCTATCATAATGTGCATGCTGAGTTGTTGAGGGAAAAATGGCTTTCTTACTGTGGGTTATAGCACAAAAAAGGTGATTTAATTTTATTCAAACTCAGTAGTCATCAAGAAAATAAAAATTAAAGTAGTAAGATATATTTTCAGAGTTTAAAAATGTAGAAACAATCTGAATACCTATGAACAGACAAACGATTGAATAAATTGTTGTATATTCACACTACACATATAAAGAATACTTAGATTTATACATATTAAACCAGAGGAATTCTCCATGATGAAGTAGGAAAACTACTGCAGATGTATGTGGTATGGCCATATTCTGGGGCCACCAATTATGTCCAACACAGGTGAATGGGGATGGACTGGGTGGACTAGAAGGAGGAGAAAAAAGAAAAGTAGAAAACAAGGAAAAGAATGAGAAAGGCTGTTGCCAATTGGCAAAAATAAGCGTGTGCATCATGCAGACTTCCATGGGATATGTACAACCAGTCTAAGTGGTGAAGACTTTAATAAAGTGACTGTTCTAGTTTGTTTCTCCATTGATGTGACAAAACACTCTGACCAATACCAACTTGGGGAGGAAAGGGTTTATTTGTCTTACATCTCCCGGGTCACAGTTCATCAGAGAGCTCAAGGTAGGAACTCAGGGCAGGAACCTGGAGGCAGGAGCTGGAGCACAGGCCATGGAGGAATGCTGCTTACTGGCTTGCTCCCCTGGCCCCTGCTCAGCTTGCTTTCTTGTGCAACAGAGGCCCACCTGCACAGGGGTGGTACCACCCAGAGTGGGCTGGGCCCTCCCACATCACACAACAATTAAGAAAATTCCCCCACAAACATGGCCACAGGCCAGTCCAATAGAGGAAATTCCCCAATTGAGGCTCCTTCAACCTAGGTGTGTCCAGCACAATGACTACACTCCTTCTTCAGGATGTGAGGCTGTGTTGCCTGAACAAAGAAAGTCTAACTCCTAGAGTCATTATTTAAACCAAGAATGAGCCCCATCTGTTCTCAGATCTGTTACTTTCAGATTTCTCTCAGAACTGTTCTCTTTAATTATTTTAACAGTACACTCAGTATAATATGGGAAAGTAATGAGGTACTTTGTCTTAAATGATCTTTAAACAGAAAAGACCTTTGCCTTGTCTGACCCCTACTGACCCAGAACAGTATATATAAAACCACAAACAGATGTTACCAACTTAAGCCCACACATTGTTTGCAACGTATACTGTGCATAATTCATTCCTCTCAACATGCTTCCAAGGTAGCTGCTTCCAGTGATGATTATCACAGTATACACACACATATGTTGTCTTGGGCCAGGGACAAGGAAGGATCACAAGGGAGAAATAGGAACATGGTTTAAGATTAATTTACCTGTTTCACTTATCCTGTAAAAGTTGATTAAAGAGGAGCTCAAGGCCTAGTACGATGGTTTATATTGTTTCCCTAGAGGCTACCTAGATTTAAATAAACTGATTATACTGTAGGAAGGCAGACTAAATTGATAGTGTTAAATGATCTCAGAGCTTAACTTTAACTTTGATTAGAAGGTTGGGTAAGACAGCAGGCACTCCCAGAAGTCATTCCCACAGCAGGGAGTCATTACACCCCCACACCCACACCCAGGGGCTAAAAAATCATATGAGGGCAGTTACTAGAACCTAGAGTAAGGAGCTATGTGGACTCTGGGCAGATGCTGTATATGTAGATAGTAAGAGAACGTGATTGGCAGGGAGGGGGGTTGTTTTCAACCTCCTCTCACCCATCATTTCCCTGCTAGTGCATCCTACCGGCCGGTCCAACTGAAGACTAAGGATTTGGGGCCCAAATGATGCAGCCTAAGAATATCAAGCCCAGAGTTGACCTGAGCAAGCTCAGAACAGTGGCATGTGCTACAGGCAGTCTTAATTGGACAGATGGATGACAGCCAACACAGAATAATAGAACATTTTATGGAAAGGCAGATTATTAACCACACCCATTATTTTATAGGTCACCAGGACAAATGAGAGTATTAGTTTACTTCTGTGATGGTATCTTAGATTTGAGCTAACTGAATATAGTATTTTCAGTAATACTTATATTAAAAGACAATTTTCCTTTTATGGGGGTAGGGGGTGAGCAGATGATGCTAGGAATCAAACCCAGGATATTGTGACTGCTAAACACATACTCTACCACTGAGCTGTACCCCACAGCCAACATTTTTCATGTTTATTCTTTGCTGTAGAGAAAACCTGAATTAAAATTCTTGTTCTACCATACATTTGCTGTTTCCTTCCTCATCTCTGAAATGAAAGAAATGTATCTATCTTCTAAAGTTTCTATAAGGGATAAGCAGGCTAAAAGGTTTTGAGATCTCAGACAAGTAGTTAGCTCATACTAAATGGGTCACCAAGAGCTTCCTACTGGGTCTGCCTGATAGCACATCAAAGAACCTCATAGTAGGTCTACCTGTCTCTACCCCTAGCTTGCTGAAAAAGGCAATGCCAGTGGTACATATTAACACAATTTTTAAATGGGATTGATGATGTGGCTTAGTGCTTGCCTAGGATAAATGAGGACCTAAATTCAATCCCCAGTCCTGGGTTTGATCCCAGGCACTGTAAAGTTTAATAAATATTGAAAAAAAATGAAATGAGCCAGGTGTGATGGTACATGCCTATCATCACAGAACTTGGAAGGTAGAAGGAGGAAAATCAGGAGTTCAAGGCCATTCTCAGGTACAGACTGTGTGCAAGACCAGCCTGGGCTACATGGGACCCTGTTTCTAAAAGTAGTTTTTAAATGTTTGAGTTGGAAATGCTAATTGCCCTGCTTTGATCATTATATTTTGTACACATATGTCAAATTACCATACCATATTCCATAAATATCTGCAATTAAAATAATTTTTTTAAATAGAAATAAAAATAAACAAGGATTTATCAGTGGCCTCTAGACTTTTCAGGACAATATTCAAGCCTCACCCTCCCTCTCTGGCATCTCCAGCCTCTTCCTCTCCTCTCCTCTCCATGGGCCTTCACTCCAACCACAGCAGTTCCTCCAGTGCCATGCTGCCCCATGCCCCAGAGAACTCCATAAGTTCTTGCCACTCCATGTTACTTTTCTACCTTGCTAATTCTTACCGTTTGTCACTGAAATGTCAAATGGCACCTCTCTGAGAATATTTCTTGTGCCCCATCCTGATTTAGAGGCAACTATTTTAATTCCACAGCATCCCATGTAGGTTGTATCAGGATAAACCCCAAATCATGGCTATCATGGTTCTGTTCCAGCAGTGGACTCCCTCAAGGGGGGCAGTGATGACTTTTGTTTCTGGATGCCAGCACAGAGCAGAGAATCTGCTGAAAGAGGACACTTAACCTTCATTTGTCTGAAGGCTTACATCTATGAGTGAGGTTCAGAACTCAACTGATCCAAAGTCACTCAGATAAGTGGCAGAGCCAGATTTCAACTGACCTCTGTTTGACTGCATAGGCCAACACTGTTCCTCCACCAACTGGATGTTATAAGGTTTCCCCTAACACTCCAGGGTAGCTGTATGCCTGAGGATCTATTCCCAGAGGTACTCAGCAAGTTCGGGCCAGAATGAGCTGGTCAGCAGAGAGAATAAATGCCTCCTTTCTGGGAGTATCAACCATATGACATTTGCTTTATCAAGGGACTTTCCCAAGAAAATCAATTTCTGGAGCATGTTAAAATACAAACAAACCACCACCCACCCACCCACTCCTTAAAGACAATTGGCCCAAAGAGATGTTAGAGAATGCAGACAATTCCACAATGCTGAGAGCACCATCTGATCACATGAACTGTGTTTCCCCTAACCAAGCATTTTTCTACTGAATTTTTATTTTAAAATTGGCTCCACTGTGAAATGTGAATCTCCACAGCCTATTGTTTCACACATGGTAAACCTGCACACACATCCGCAAATACACTGAAGAGTCTTAACACAGGCACCATCTGAAATTTGCTGTTATGGATTATGATGATATTACCAGAATTCCTTCATAAGACTGTTTATATCCATTTATAACTGTAACCTATTATCCTATTTTCCATATAATTGGATGCAACTGAGGTTAAAAAATATTCAGCTGCATAAAAAAAGTCATGCTCTTACAGAGCAGATGTTTGCTCAGCATGGAAAGTGAATTAGCCTTTAACAGAAATACCCAAAATGTGCTCTTTCCAAAAGCAATGATGTTGCTACATTACATTGGAAAACAACTTAAAGCTACAGGATGCTAAAACTGTGAGGGAGGTAGCCATAGCTTATTTCTAAAATAGGCATAAAATTTACCTCTTTAAGGTATGGTGGGAATTGCAATTCAGGTATCGGATTCTTTCTCCAGTTCAGGGTAGAGAAAAACTCCTTGTAATTTATTTGTTTGTCTTTGTCTTCAAACCTGAAAACAAGAGAATTTGACTCAATCTGCAGCATTTAAGACAAAAATGCTTAAATTTTACCTTAAAATATATTATCATGTATGCTTCAATAACTAATGTTTTTCTTATTAGCTCATTATATACTTCTGATTTCCCAGAATATAAATTCTTCAATATCAGGGATCTCACCTATCTGGAAGGTGGTGGCAGTTGGTAGGAGTCCAATAAATACCTGGTACAGTTGCCACAGAAACAAATTTAATTAACTGGTAAGTAAGACCACCACTATATTTTAAGAATATTTGAAGGTCTTTTATTGGTTGGTATATGTCAGTAAAATAAAATATCTTTATAGCTCTTAAATTGCATATCATTTAAATCTTTAAGACAAGCCTAGATTAACTTTGTCTACTCAGAAAAGTAAAAGGTATCTTTGTCATTTATTATGTAGCCATAACAAGGGGTTATTTAGATCAATATTTGAAGTCATTAAAATAAGTTCTTGACATATTAAGTGCAAGGAAAGTTATACAATAATGCATATAATTTTTAAGATTTTCATTTTATTTTTATTATTTTAAACTGTGTGTGTCTGTGTGTATGTCTGTGTATGTCTGAGTGTGGGTATGTGCATGGAGAGGCCAAAAGAGGACATCAGACCCCCTGGAGCTAGAGTCATAGGCAGTTTGGAGCCACTTGATGTGAGTGCTACAAACTAAACTCCTGTTCTATGTAAGAGTAATATATGATTACTCTGTTTCATCCGCACTAATTTAAATTTGTAATTAGAACAAAACAAGCCCATTTTTATTTGGAACAAAAGGTAACTAATAATTATCTTGCACCATAATAGGTCAAAACTAATGAATATTAAATTATGGATGTAAGCTTAAATTCATTCTTAACTTTACATAACAGAATTTTGATCATTAAGAAATAATAATTTCAACACAATTTCTATACTGACCTAAATAGTACCTAACTACTTCTTGCTGTAATACCTCAAGCCATTTATCCTAAATTTGACAACATTCTACCAAATTTTAAGGAAAATTATTTATTGATCATGTTACACCATTTTTTGAAGGAAGTGATAGTCACTAAGACGTTTTTCCAAGTACTCTGCCCCAGGCGTCTACCCTTAAAATAGCATATCCATAATTAGTCAGAAGGCATTTCTCATTTCTTCTCAAAGTATTAAGAAAATAATAGCTCATATTTACAAACTAATAAAAATTAATAGAACCAAAAATGTCACAAACTAAAGTAACATAGATTCACCAATCTAAACAAGGGGGAATAAACAGAGATACCAGAAGACAGGAAAGGGAATTCTGTAATTCTTTTGTATACATTTTCTTTGGCCAAAAATTCTGGGATACAACTAAAGCATGCCGCCCCCTACCACTGTTTACCCTTTGAATTTTGGCTCACTCATCATTTCAACCCTTCTAAAGGACATCTCTGTTTATAGAAATATTTATAGGCAAAATATAGGACCATAATGTCTTTTATTTGTGTATGTTTTAGGGGAACGGCTAAAACTCAGCTAAAGATGTTTTGTGAGAAGTCTTTCTCTAGCAGAGAAACTTGATGGAAAACATTTCTTAATATCTGAGTAGAAACTGAGGTCAGAGAAGGAGATCACATAGGCTCTTTGACTTTTATTCTAAGGAAATCTAGGACCATAGTCTGTAGAAAAGTTATAGGATCTGCAACGTTCTGAATTATAAAGTCCCTTCCAAATTCACATGTTGAATCCTAAGCACCAAAGTGATGCTATTAGGAGGTGAGGCTTTGAAAGTAGTATTTAGATGATTACAGCAAAGCCTTCCTGAAATCAGTACCCCAGAGCAGGGCACAGTAGCACATGCCTATAATCCTAGCACTCAAGAGATAGAGGAAGTGAGGTTGGGAGTTTAGAGGCAACCTGAAACTATACAGTGATATCCTGCATCAAATCAGCAAGACAAATAAAAAAGAAAATAGAAGGGAAGAGAGCACCTCTGCCATGTGAGGACAGGGCAAGAAGGAATCATTCATAAAGCAAGCAGTGGGCCCTCAACCAAACACTGAATGTTTTGGCACTTTTTGCTTAGACTTTTCACTTTCTAGAACTGTAAAAAGTAGTTTTAGTCTATGGTATATTCTTGTAGCACCCTAAAGACTAAGATAGTCCTTAACATATTTTAAAAGGCTTATTCCAACAGCCTGATATGAGTAGAACATACCAGGCACCACAGAAGTGGCAGGCGGTTGTTAGCAATCTCTCTATATAGGGATCTACGATCTCTATAATGGTGGTTTAGGATAAAGGTGGCAGTAGTGAGGAGTCATCAATTCTGAATGCATTTTGAATATACGATCCTCGAAAGACTGCATATAGTGTGTAAGGGAGAGAAAGGGAGGTTTAACAGTGACTTGAAGGTTTCTCTTTCAGTGACTGGACAGCTAGGGCTGCAGAATGGAGGCAAGATCCAGAGGTCAGTTTTAGTTACACTGCTGAAGATCTTTTTCTTTTTGGTTTTTTGAGACAGGGTCTCCCTGTAGCTGAAATTGGCCTGGAACTCACAGCAGAGACCAGGCTGGCCTCAATCTCACAGAGAACACCCTGCCTCTGCTTCCCAAGTGCTGGGATTAAAGACTTGCCATCATGCCATGCCCCAAATTTCTCCTCTCTCTCTCTCTCTCTCTCTCTCTCTCTCTCTCTCTCTCTCTCTCTCTCTCTCTTTGTTCTCTCTCTCTCTCTCTCTCTCTCTCTCTCTCTCTCTCTCTTTCTCTTCTTATAGTGCCCACAGAGGGTGGAAGAGGGCATAGGGCACAGGATCCCTTGTAACTAGAATGACAGGTGGTTTGAGCTGCCTAATATGGATGCTGGGAACTGAATTCTGGTTCTCTGGAAGAGCCACAAGTGTTTCAGGTGCTTTAAACTACTGAGCCATCTCTTCAGCCCTATATATGCTATTTTTTAAAATGAGAAGTGAGAAATAGAGGCTGCAGAACCTGAAGTTCAGGGGCGAGATCTTTTTGAGGATTGAAGATGTGAGAATAATTTCCTATATAGATAGTATTTACAGATATAAGACTGGAATCTAGAAGAAATCACCAACAAAATAAGTTACAGAACAGAACATAATTGTCTGGAAATTCCCACAACATGAATTCCAGGAGGCACTTATTCAATCTTGTAGTTCAGAAATTCAGTATTTCAGTAATTTGGGAAGCAGGCAGTAGATTACCAAATAGATCTAGGGTTATATTCAGCTTCAAGTCTCACATGTAATCCACTCAACAGTCCTGTGAATTATCCTGCCTTAGCATATCATCCCTCTCTTTTACTACCCCCAATCTCAAACCACTATCACCACAATAGTTTCCCATTTTGAGTTTATTACTCCTATCTACTGTTTGTAGTAATCCACCCTACCCCCATTAGAGAAATCTTTCTGAAATAGAAATTCATTCAGATACTTCCTTGTTTGAAATCCTAACACACTTAGACTATAACCTCAGCTCCTTATCTTGTTCTATAAGAAACAACTTCATCTGCCTCCTGCTGACATATCTGATCACATCACCTGAAAACTTGTTGCAGTGTGCCAGGTCTACAGGTCTTCTGTGTCCCTGATCATGCCAAAGTGGTTCCCAGAAATGCAAGGGATCTGCACCTTCTGCTGCTCTTATCTGTGAAGGCTCAGCTAAAATAGTGCTTCCTTGGGAAGATCTTCCTGTAAGTTCCTCCTGTGTGAACCCTTTTGCTTGGATTTCTATTTGCCCTAGATGATGGCACTAGAACTTGGGCAAATTTCTAGAAGCTACCATTGGAGGTCCTATTAGACTTTGTTGTAGCTAAGTCTGATAGTTCATGTTTCCCTGTGATCTCCTAGCCTCACCCTTCTTTACTACCCAACTCATGATATGTCAAACTCAATACATCGAATTATTTGTCCATTTAGATGGATATTTATGAAGGCTATTTCTGAGCCAAATGACACTCAAGAAGGATCAAAGGTGTAAATGAAAATATACACAGTTTTAAAATGTATGAAATTTTTTTGAGAAGAAATGAAAGGTTTCATCTTTCCCAAGTCCCAGAACCAGGCTTAAAAGAAGAATTAGCTAATGTGAGAAAATACGCCAAGGTTTCCTTTGCAGTTCTGTCTTAGAAGACCTCAGTGTACATAGGAATCCTCTCAAGGGGTAGAGGGGAGAAATGAACAAACACTCTTTCCGTTTAAAGGGATAAGCCTAGCTGAAGCTTCTTGGAAGAATTTTTACTCTGGGGAAGTGGGCAGAGTAACAGGGAATCATGATGGTCTATCCACCAATATTTCTCTCCATTTTATACTAAATCTCATCTTTCACTTATAAAGGAATAAAAATAAGAATACAAAAAGAAACATATACAAATACAAAGATAGTCGGAAAAAAGACAATGGAAAAGAGATTTCAAAATGTGCTGCAAGACAAAAAACAGATCCTGGATGAATAACTGACTTGGTAGAGTAGAGGAATGGAAGCGGAACTCTGAGTGTCACAGAGCAGAGCATAGACAGCCCAGGCAATGTGGCCCACAAAACTCCTAAGAGAATCAGGGCATGAAGACTCCAGGTGCCAATAAAGGAGGTAGAAGATGGGATACTGAAACCAAGGATTGTTTGAAAGCAAAATTGGTTGAACCTGTAAGTATTTTGCTGTGCTGTGCCTCTCCCACTAGGGTATAAAGGCTTGAACTCTAAAGGAATTCAACGAAAGAAGCTTCAGTCTTAGGGAGACAGAACATCATAATGACAGCGACAGAGGAGAGCGTTCCACCCTGAATTTAAGGGTACTCATCTCCTCTTCCCCTTTCCTGCTTCTACAACATCAGTGACCACTTTAAATTCTCCCCCCTTTTCCCATCCCATCCTCCCTCCTACTACAACAGAGAAAGACAGGATTGTTTTCTCAGTATTCTGAATGGTTCCAGATAAATTTCTAGATTCCAACTTCTGGATATTCCTTAATGAAGATGAAGCTA